ACCTTGAATATTGCGTATAATTAAAAGCTTAACTCATTTTCTGTGATATTTTTAAAGTTCTAGATACAAAATATGTATAAGCCAAGTAAATTGGTTGTGAATTTCGCTATAACATAGGAATACCATGTTAGTGAGCATATTCCTTCTCATTTGGAAGAGAATATGCTACTTTTTAGAGCTCGATTTATTAAGGCAGTTCAAAATGAGTTTTATTTTTTCAATATACCCATATTTTGTGTTTTTATGCTATTTATTCAATATTGGATGCAAATAATTTGATAGAAAACCGTGATGTCGATTAAACTCGTTACTAGAGTCTCTATAATATTTCGATTCACACAAATCATTCATTTGTTCAGCGATTCAGCAAGGAGTTAATTCACAAGCTAAAAGCTTATTGGCTCACAAGGTTTGATTTTGTATTAAAAGGAGGGAAATTAAGATCTTATGAAAGTGGGGTTTCCCGACAAATGTAATAAATATTAATCGCTTTCATTTACGTTTGTGGCTCTTCCCAGGGTGAAAAAACTGGTCAAACTTCATATTTACAATTAAGGCCTCAGTGCTCATTAGTGCTGTCCCAGTCATAGTTGTTCTATCCACTGTTCTGTACATAATTCATCCCTGGGGCTTTAAGCCACCAATCAAACCTTCCCCCCCCTTCCACTACTCCCTCGACCCGTTACCCAGGGCCCGGATTATCATCATTACTCTGCAGTTCAGGTTTCTAATTTGAGATTAACGCTTTTTTCTTCTTTATTTTCTGCAAAGTTGATATCTCCTTCTTATCTTGCGATGGTAGCATTTGTTAAGATTGAAGGGCCTGTAGCTAATTTTCTCTCTTACGCTTGCAGAATTTGTCTTAAGCCTACCGATTGGATGCCTTTATTCAAAATAACTACCTTTGTCACTTTCTTTATTTATTGTTACAGATTTAGTTAGATAGTTGAGTATGATATTGGACGTCTATGATTAGTCATAATCAGGATGAGTGAATTTGTTTACATGTTCAATATTTTAGATCGAAATTGTGAGAATGGGGAGTGCCCGACACAGACATCAAGATGGTTGGTTCCAATTATGCTTGGGTTCTACGTTTTGCTCACAAATATTCTCATGTTCAACTTACTCATCGCCATGTTTTCGTAAGTCCCATCCACTTCATTTTTTATACGTATAGCATCAGTAAGTTCACGTTAAAAACAAATATTTCATGGTAAAGACCAACGAAATGACAGTGTTTTGACTAACAGTATTAACTGGCGTTATTCTGTACTTTAATCTGTAAAACGCATAAAGTGAAAATACTTTTACTAGCCAGTTGATTCACGCAATTCAATCTATTCTCCAATTGATGAGCCATGATGACAATAAAACCAATGCATTGGGCTTGATTACAATCAGAGATAAGAGTCCAGAAATTAATGGAATTGCGTTGGCTAACGTCAGTGCACTTTTTTGAATGAATACTAGGAATGAAATGGTGTTTATTTACGCAGAAAAACCTATGAGGAGATTGAGAGTGCCTCGACCTACTACTGGAATTACCAGCGATATCAAATGATTGCTGATTATGTCAGAAGGTCCCCCCTAGTCCCACCTTTGATAATATTCTGGCATTTCTATGAGGCCTATAAGGCGCTGGGCAATCGGTGTGCGAGTATTCGCAGCACGGAGCAGATTGAGAACAATCCTTTCTGTGAGTTCACTTTATTTCTTCCTGTCTTGTCTTGTTACAACAAATGATATTTTCTCATCGTAAAAATTTGTGGAAATAATCAGGATATTCAATTGTAATTTTCCTTTAAACAGTTCATGCTCCGCATTTCAAAAATCTCGGATTTATTTCTCGAGTTCATGAGTGAATTTCTTTGAGCAGTATTCAGAGTTTTTAGTGGGCTTGAGATAATGCCAATTTTGTGAATTTATTTTAGATACATTTTGTTATTTGCCATTCTTTATACTTTATATTTTGAAAGGAAAGTGCTATGGAGCACAATCTGCACTTGATATACCATGCATTGATATAGAATGACGTACATTTGCTTTAGAATAGCGGTTAATATACCTTACTTCCAAATCAATAGATAAATTAGGTATTATTCTCTGCATACTGCCACCAATATTTAATGAACAACAAGGTGGATAGGAGAGGTCATTGGCCAGAGGGGAGGGGGGAAGAGATGGAAGTGGATTTAGATGTGTGGGTGTGTGCAGGAACATATATAGTTAGTTCCATTAAGAAAGTGAGCATTTGGGGCTAAATGGAGGCTGTACAAAGAGAGCGAGTTATTGGTAAGAAAGGGCTCTAACCGATTTTTGGAACCCGATGGTACATTCAAAGTTGACTGATGATTCACTTTTGGTGATCACAACAAGTGTGGCATCAGAGGCCGTAAATAAGGTGTGCTCCTCTGGTGATCACAGCATATAACTTCCTTCTGTTTCCACTAATCATTTCCTTCGAATGAGTATGGACAGTTCGGTTTTATTTATTTCAAGCAATGTTTTATTTATCAATTAAATTTCTGTGCAGATGCGCAAAACCATCAATTTGTTAGTTTGGTGTTTCACGTCATGCCAGTATTGAGCATTCGTGATAATGCACCTTAGTTTGATTCTTGTTGTCCCATTTGTGTGAATTGCCAGCTGTCTCACTCTTTCCACTCCTTACAGGTGTGACGTTCAAGGACGTGAAAAAGGAGAGAGAGATGGTGAAATGGGAGCACATGAAGGCGATGGATTACCTGCGAGAGCCTTCCACGAAATCTGGAGTGAAACGTGGTGGAGTGGAGTCGAGAGCGGTTGTCTTTCGAGGTGTCGGCGCAGGCAGTGGCATGGGCCCTGGTCCCGCTTTGGACCTCAAATCCGAAATGACCGCCGTCACTGAAGTGAATTATTTTCCTTTTTATTCTACTTTAATCGCTCAACTAGCAGTGTAACCTTAAGTTGATCTAATTCACCTCTAAAGTTTGCTAATTCCTTAGTGAGCGCATTGGTTTGAAATAAGAGTTTAAAGAACCCCATTGATGCATATAGGGTTGAGAAAGCCTGTTTTTTCATAAACGCATTTACTGCTAAAAAATATCTCTTTTTTCTTTCATTTGACAATCAAATGATGTTGGCTCAAAATTTAAGTTAGAATCAAGATAGAATTTTAATACTTTGATAAAAGGATTAAAAACCCGATGAAAGAATGCAGTGAAATTTTACAAATTCAAGTCTCCATCCGTGGGAAATGCCAGCAGAATTTTGAATGTGTGCTGTTAGGTCGTTATAAATTAAGAAAAAGCAATCATTTGCCATTTGTATTTTCAAAACGTTCTTCGAATCCAGAATCTTTCACTAGTCCTTAGTAGAATATCAAAAGTTATCTGCAAATTGAAATTTATGGTGTGCTGGGACGTGTTCAGAGGAACTCAAACCAAGTGTATTGGAATCGTTTTGTCTAAAAATAGTTGAGAAAACTTAAATAGCAGGGATAAGAATTATTAAAGCAATCACTTTTTGGGATAAAAGAATGCAATTGTATTCATTGAAACGGAATGAATAAAACCCTAGAAATAAATTAACTTGGGAGTATTATATGTATAATAGACTATTCCTGTAAATATAATTTTCGTATAATTTGCAGTAAAAGTGAGTGCGTATGTACTCAAAATGGATTCAGCGCATCATATCTATGTACAGATAGTAGATGGGGGATGCAGTAGTTAGCCCAATGCTATGGTTACTATTTGACCTTGATCGTAGTTTGGACAGGAAATTACATTGCTCTTCTTCATTAACTTCGAATGGCTTATTTTCTGACGTTTCCACGTCTTTTTGATTGCTATCGTTAGCACTTGACTAGGTAATTTTGACTAAGCAGCGATTTCTGTTAACTCCAAATAAAGATTGTAGCATATATTAAAATAAAAGGCAATACTAACATAAGTTACTAATTCCAGGTAAGTAATGAATAAGAATATAATTCTAAACACTAGAGACTGAATCCTTCTCCATATTCCTCATTTGTTAAGACATCGGCACATAAAATCCTTTTATCTAACTGTTAATAAAGGTTCACCTTCTGAATTCAAATATTTATTTATTTATTTCAAATGGCGGGCTTTATGACACTTATTATTAGCCCTTTAGCTGATTTCGGGCTTCACAGAGGGAAGGTTCATCAAAGTAGCAGAAAGTCGAGGGGTGGGAAAGAGAAGAGCGATTCACATATGTAAAGGAGGCAGACAGACACAAAGGTAGAGAAAAAGGTAAGGTGAGTACATTGGAAGGGGTCGAATATGACAACCAGGGGGGTCGTTGTAGTTTGAAGTGAGAAGTCAACTGCCAGTTAATAGACTTTTTGCCGTATGAATATACGTTGCCCAGGGTGCACCACGTGGAGGTAAGTCTATCGCTCACCCCTGAATTCAAATATACTTTTGGAAAGTCATATCCTTCTAGTTTGGTATGAACTGACCCTAACCTTACATTTTATGTATTAAACAATTTAACGCTTGTATTATCAGCTAGGTTAAATAAATTACAACAATTCTTTGGAAATTCTAAAAAAAGTAGTGCATATACTGCACGATAATCCTATGTTCTATCATAAAATCATCCATTTTGCTAATAGACCTCTTGCACTCTGGGTGGTGCGTAAAATTGATCTAAATCAGCAGAATACTCAAAGCATACTACTTTATCTAATGGGGAGAAA